TTTTTTTTTTTTTTGTTCTTTTTCCTTTTCGACAATTGTAAATGCAGCAACCCGGCAAAGCGCTCGTCTCGTTACTCTGGAAGATGGAATTTTGTTATTCTATTATTCTAGGCGAACGTAGGCCATTCTTGTTGTTGCAAAGTTTCGAATGAAGTTTCTGCTTCACTCGGGTCTCTTAGTTTCAGTCGTACAGTTTATAGAAGCGAAAGGGATGATCGCCGTAAGAAGATGAAAAGGGACAAACGACGAAAGAGGGGGAAAAAAGCGTGAAAAGTATCGGAAGCTAACCGAGGCGGTATCGTGCGCGACGATAGGAAGGGAATTCGCACACGACACCCGAAGTGCCCCTTTCCCTCTATCGTCCGAGTCCATCGCATTTGGGGCTAATAATGCCGCACGGCCGATTTCCCCCACCCGATGGCCGGACCTGCGGTTAATACTCGATGATGGGAACGGTCATCTGCAGAGACAGGACACCCAGGCTGTGCATTCGCGAACGACGGACGGACAGACCGACAGACAAAACCGGGCCACGCGTATGTGCCACCTATATAACGTGCACCACATCGCCGGTTATTCAGCGCGACTCCGGGCTCGTTTCGGTGTGTCGGTGCGTTTCCAACGGTGCCGAGGATGAGATGAACGCCATCCCAAACCGCCCACACAACCATCCGAAACCACTCGAAACCGTCCGTTAATACTCGTGGCACCAGAGGGAGAGGGGGAGAGAGGAGCAGGAGGGAATCGGGCGTAGGGCTAGGTGTCTACTCACTCTCCAAGTGGGAGAGCCAGAAGCTGGGATGGAAAAGCGAAGGGTTCGGTGGAACGGGGACGAAGGTCCCGATTCCCGAGTCTCGCAACAGGATGTCTCTGCAATTGTCAAATAATTACTATCGGTGGTAATTTCAGCCGTGTCGATATAGACTGCGGTATATTACTAATTATAGGCACGAGGGCTTGCCTCGGGTCCCGACGATGATGGAACGCCCGTTTCAACCTCTGGCAGCTCCTCTCTTTGATCCGGCGCTATCACCTTCCCTCTCTTTCTTCCCGTTTGCCACTCGGCGGAAGCAACGTCGTCCCTTCGCGGAAGGTGATAATTGCAAACATCTTACTGGTTTCTCGTTCCCTCCTTTTTAACAGTGATCTTGCGTACATTATGATTCATCTAGTTCTTTGTAGTTATTTCGCTTTGCGTTATGTAAAATATTCACGTTCTTGGTCAATCCGGTCCGATTTCAAACTCGAAGCTTCCGACGATATTAACAGGGAAAATCGGAGAAAGATCTCCTAACAATTTACATAGGATTCTTTGTACTTCGTTTTGTCATTAGAATATCGTTGTTGGCCAATCTAATCTGACCAGACTTCGGTGATTGCGATTCGACTTTGTTCGACAGATTCTTAATACACTTGTACGAGGAAATTTCAAGCTCGACGCTTCCAAATTTTCCACCGAATTCCTTGGACGAATCGGCGATATCGAAAGGGGTGAATCGGAGCGGTGCGGTAGGATTCAATCAAATTAATAAGTCGCGGAAACAAAACCTCGATGATAGGAGGGTAGGTAGACTGGCCGGTCGCGGCTGGTACGAGGGTGGTTTGGTCAATCGTCGAAATTGAGTA